TAGTAGTCTACGGCTTGCTAATAGTGATACTACTCTCTCTATTCCAAATTATAACATGCTTTTAGATACTTAGATAGATATATCAGTTTGGACAACATACAGAATAAAATGAGTTAACATAAACACTAAAATGCGTCTAAATACAAGCGAATCGGGAAAACGCTAAAACATCTCAAAGTCTACTTCAACCTTTTTTCCGAAAAGGAGGACAGCCCCCGACCTCTGCATCAAAGCGATGCATGCGACCATTTATTAATAAATAAACGTTAAATAAAGTCTCGAAAGCAAAAGGGCTCTCACAGAGCTAAAAAATAATCATGAGAGGGGTAGCCACTACGGGCGGAAGAAAGAGAAATAGGTAACTAAACACATATCCTATTACAAACTGTCATCCAAACCGGTTTGAGCCCGAGCTACCATCACCCAACGGGTAGACCCAGTAACCAAATGCTCCCTGGCATCCGTCGGAGTGAGTAGCGACCACATATGGATCAAAGCAGTGACCCCGAAGACAACCTGCAAAAAATGGATATGTGTTTTACCTCAAGCTAGAGGGAAGAACATTAATTCTCACTGCTTTACTCCTCGGATATTATCATAGTGTGCGGCCTTCTCTAAAAACTTCCAGGATAGAGGAATGCTAGCTATATTTGGACCGTGTTGCTTCGGTTCTTGTGTGTAAATTTGTTTGTGGCAGTTGCGGCATCTCGGTGAAGCAATTCAGTTTCACCAACTCTCATTCCGTGACATATTTATCGATGGAGTAACTTCATGGCTTGGTCTCCTTGCTATATACTACTCAGTATTAGATGCGGTTATCATCTTTCCATGTTACAACTTGAAAGTCGAAACTTGGATCGATTACTATCTTTCCTATAATTATAATATGGGAAAGGTGTTGGTGAGCTTAATTGCCTCATTGTCCACAGTTAAAACAAGCCACCTCAAGGAGAACAAAAATCTTTCCTGGGTAGGGGTCCCAAGCTATGGATCTTGAATCAGCGGTAACAGGAATGATGAAGACAGGTGTTTACCCAAGTTCGGGCCCTCTCGAAGAGGTAATACCCTACGTCCTGCTTTGATTATATTGATGAAGATGTATCGAGTACAAGTTTGATCTACCTCGAGATCGTTAGGACAGATCTAACCCTAAGGCTAGGAGAATGTAATTGCGATTTCCTCCCCCACCCTACAGACTAAACCCTATGGCTTATATACACGCCAGGTAGGGCATCTAGGGTTACATGGTCGGTAGGCGGCAGGAGATGTCTTGGAGCATATGCCAAGTCTTTGGCAGATGCAATCTTTCACGTCCAGGTGTGTAGCTTCCGGAGTCCACCTGAAGGAGAATGAGGGCCTCTAGGCCCAGCCCGAAGACTATGGGCCGACTAGGTTGGCACCCCTTAGTCCAGGACACCGTCAATGGGGGCACCATGCTCTTTCATCCTCACTTCTTCATTAGCACTAGAACACAGAGGACACACAACAACATCACACTACCTAAGAGACTTTAGCAGCAACAACATCACTGCACCTAATCCAAGCAATGCACTAGCTTGCTGCTTGCCTATGTTCTGTTGTAGAGAGCCAGACATTGCCATAACAGCTCTATCAGTTGCTACTCGACCTGCAATCCTTGTCCTTTCTCTCCTGGCCCTAATGAGTTCTTCTTTCGTGTCCTCTGTTGCTCTAACGACATCAACAACTTGGTCTCCAAACAAGTAATGACGATCGACAAGGTAGGCAACATATTCCATCTCCCAATGCTAGAAATCACACCCATGCTGCAAACCAAGAGAAAATGTGAAAACATGTAACTTTGACCACCAAGGGGAAAACAACTGCAAATCCAGTAGAAGAACGAAATCAATTGCAGTTACTTAAATAGTGATTGGGACACGTGTACAAGACCCAACCCTCGTGATCCTCTGTGTTCGAAACATAGTACTTCACCGTCGACAAGCAGTGAGGACATGGGATGAGCGGCACCACCATTGTTTGGTCACGAAGACCTGGCAGGAGAGAACTAGCAGAAGGCATGGCCGGGGAAAGAGGGCGGCGAGGAAGGTTGTAGAGAAAGATGTGGCGGCGACGACAACGAGAAGATGGGCGCATGGCCGCGAGAAGAAGATGAGTGAGGCAAACTAGGGATTTGGGGATTACTAGCTGATCGGCTGTTTTGCAAATACACCCACCCACAAAATGACAATTTAACATAAACCCGTCATCCGCCTACGTGGAGCTCGTGGACTAGTCAAAAACGCGGCGTAGGAGCGATGTACACTACAAAGTGACACTGTCACATCATAGTGAGTGACCGTATTGCACAAGTTCCTATGTACGATGATCAAACTGACCTCGCGACACAAGTTCAAGGACCGCATGCAGATGAATTTTACTCGGCTGAATTCCACACAGTTCTCACGGTGTCCTCGGAGGTGGAATGGTTTTCCTCACACGCGCTTTGCTAAAGCGGCCGCGTGCATCCGCGCGGAACACCCAAGTCAAAGAGCGAAGCCGTGCACACGCCCCCTTTCGCCTGTAGGGTTCACGTACGCCGCATGCAGGCATGCAGGCATGCGAGGGCACACCAGCCAAAATGTTTCGGCCTCGTGGATTTCCGGGGTGTATATTTAGTTTTGTGCAACGAGGATCATATGGCCTAACCACGGGCATTCCCCAGCCAGCCACAGGAGCCCCCGAAACATCCGGCAAAGAAGGCCGGCCGGCGCTCGGTTTCGCGCAACGCAGCTTCACCGCCCGTCGTCCCATGGCCGCCGACGGGGACCCAGCCGCGGGCGCCGGCCCCGACGTGGAGGCGCACGCGCTGCTCCGCGCGTCTTCCTCCTCCTCCGACGAGGACCCCGAGCAGTGCGCCTTCGAGCCGGCCGAGAAGATCGTCGTGTCCATCGCCGCCGACCCCGACGCCGACGAGGAGGACCTCTTCTCCGCCACCGGCCGCGCGCCGCCCTTCTCGTGGCGCAAGCTCTGGCTCTTCACGGGGCCTGGGTTCCTGATGAGCATCGCCTTCCTCGACCCGGGCAACCTCGAGGGCGACCTCCAGGCCGGCGCCACCGCCGGCGACACGCTGCTCTGGCTGCTTCTCTGGGCCACGGCCATGGGGCTGCTCGTCCAGCTGCTCGCCGCGCGCCTCGGGGTGGCCACCGGGAAGAACCTCGCCGAGCTCTGCCGCGACGAGTACCCGGACTGGGTGCGCCGCGCGCTCTGGCTCATGGCCGAAGTCTCCATGGTCAGTGCCGACATCCAGGAGGTCATCGGGAGCGCCATTGCCATCAAGATCCTCAGCCGCGGGTTCCTGCCCATTTGGGCCGGCGTTGTCATCACCGCATTGGACTGGTGAGTTATGGTCGCCTTTTCATGTTGTTGAGATGTACTGCTCGATACCAGTTGCCAAAGATGTTTGAGATATTCTGGAGATTATTGTCACCTCCCAGAAATATGTGGCTCACTCCAAATCTTTAGGATGAGACCGTCGATGTGCTGCAAAAAAGTGTTCAGTAGCGAGTCGCAGCAAAACTTGAAATTTGAACGAATTAGTTTTAGTTTGTCGATTCAGCTGCAAAAACTGAAATTTGATCAAGTTAGTTTCAGTTTGTAGTATCCTTTTAGTCGATTCTACCGGTGCATCATTCAGAACTCTTAGTCAGTCGGCATTTGCAGAGATGGAACAACATTTATCACATCGATAAAATGACATGCATGCTGCAAATTTTTTTTTGGTGAACTTTGTAGGCGAGACCAGGACTGAACATTTCTCTATGGATATATCAGAAATGTGAAAATTATTTGATCATTCTGTTTTCTATGCACAATGCATGAAAACTAGCATATGAGTAACAGCAAAAATGATGTTTTCTATTTTACATCATTACCTGAATTACTGCATGTAGCACCGGTATTTGGGACATGGAGTTCGTGATCTCGAGCTCACATGCACCCTTTGCTACAGTAAATACAAAAAATTACTATTATTTTTAGAGTTTTGCGATGGAATGACATTCGTGGAGGTTTGGGCAATAAAAATTAAAAATAGATGCTCCAAAATGACTGCTTTTGGAAGCATTTTGGAGCATCGATTTGTTTCCGAGACCTCCATGAATGTCATTACATCACAAAAAAAATGCACCCATGTGAAACACACATCAATATTTATTGCAAAAAAAAAACAACTTTTTTTTTTAAAAACATTAAGTGTTTTTTCAAATTTTACTGTAGTAAAGGGTGCATGTGAGCTTTGCTCGGAATATCACTTTCACAGTATTTGCAAATTGCTTGCTTGCATGATGAATATTTATTTTGTTGTAGTTATTATTTGGATGAACAGAAGGTTCCACTCCACTTACCTTAATATACTTTTTTTCATCAGCTTTATTTTTCTTTCCATTGAGAACTACGGAGTGAGGAAATTGGAGGCTCTATTTGCAGTTCTGATTGCAATAATGGCCTGGTCCTTCGCATGGATGTTTATAGAAACCAAACCCAATGGGAAAGACCTAATTGTTGGTAACTATCTTTCTTCACTTTTCTTCACACATTCCATTTGATCCACATAATTTTTCTTCAACTGACGCGAAATTAATCTCTACGCAAAATAGGTCTTCTGGTTCCTAAGCTGAGCTCAAGAACACTAAGGCAAGCAGTTGGGATCGTCGGATGTGTCATCACCCCCCACAATGTGTTCCTCCATTCTGCTCTTGTCCAATCGAGAAAAGTAGACCAGAACAAGGAATACCAAGTCCGGGAAGCGCTGAGGTACTACAGCATCGAATCAACCATGGCGTTGGTGGTGCCCTTCATGATAAACTTATTTGTCACGACGGTTTTCGCAAAAGGGTTTTACGGCACCGAAGAAGCGCGCACAATCGGGCTCGAAAACGCCGGACAGTATCTCCAGGAAAAGTTTGGGGGAGATTATTTCCCCATCCTCTCCATTTGGGGGGTCGGCCTGTTGGCCGCCGGCACGAGCAGCACCATAACCGGAACCTATGCCGGACAGTTTATAATGGATGGGTTTCTCAACTGGCGACTGAAGAAATGGATGAGGGCGATGATCACCCGAAGCTTTGCGATCGTGCCGACGATCGTTGTTGCCCTGTACTTCAACGCGTCGGAATCTGCGCTGGATGTTCTGAACGAGTGGCTCAACGTGCTCCAGTCAGTTCAGATCCCTTTCTCGCTCATACCGCTGATAACATTGGTGTCCAAGGAGCAGGTCATGGGGGTGTTCAAGATAGGTCTAACAACACAGGTAAGTGATGGCCGCTTTCAGTCTGGCCAAATCATTATCAGTCGCACATAGGATTCTGAACTGACTTTGGCATGCATGTTGGTGCAGATTGTGACCTGGACGGTTGCGTCGTTGCCAATCCTGATCAACGGCTATCTCTTGTTGGATTTCTTCTCGTCGGAAATTAGGGGCGCGGTATCTGGCTCGTTTCTCTGCGTGGCTGTGGTTGCTTATGCCGCGTTCCTACTCTATCTTATCCTCCGGTGCACGGAGCTGCCTAACCATGTATTTACACCAGTAAAAAACAAGGATGCTAGCTTCACATGACGAAGAACAGGGTGTGTATAGTATAGCCAGTTTTGTTCTACCATAGGTCCATAGCTTAATAGCATAGTATAGAGGATTCCTGGTGCGCATTGGGAGTATAGTCAGTATACAGGAGTCAGATCCGATCGAGATTTGAGATATCACATTGTAGATTGCACAGAGGAATTAAGGATGGCGCGTTCTTCTGTTGAGAAGAACAGTAACTGCCCACTGTTGAGATGGACATGTGTTGTTGTGTCTTGTAATTCGGTAGTTTGTTCTGCGACTTGACAAACAGTGCAAAAGAAACACAGGAGTGGAGCAAGGCATTCTATCTGGCTGTGTAGACTGATCACCCAACGTAGTTAACCACCCGGTATAGAAATTGCAGTGAGGATGATGATATGATATTCATGTACCTGGAGAAGGAAAAAATATGTTTAGGACTTCAGGTTCAGTTTGAGCTCCTCCAAAAAAAAGAACTTCAGGTCAGGAACATGTGTTAACATT